TACTCATTATACACACACACACTCATTATATATCTCATTTAGGTAGTGTGTGCCTTTAATTACTTTATCATTACCACTTTGTAAAAGCATTCCTTTGGAATGTTCCATAGGACATGACATGGATCTGTTAAACTCACTCAGCTCAGTGTCAAGTACAACACCAGTACTTGATGAAGTTTTTTCATGAAGTCAGATACAAGGAGATGAAATTGGTCTCATTTTCTAAGGCGAAGAAGAATTAGAGAAGACTGTTTTGTTTTCTTGATTTAAAATTGAGTGGGTGCTCAACAGGCTGTGATTAAATAAACTTGTATGAACTGATTTGTTTGACAATTTGATAGCCCCCAACTGAGAAATACGAAATGGTACCCAGTAGTGAAAATATGTGTCCTATCTAAATGTTTCTAATTTATGTCTGTTTCTTGCTTAAGACTGTGATAATCCATTGCATTTTTCCTTGGAGCTAGTACTGAATTATTTGTGAGTCAGTAATAATTTTCTATAAATTATGTGAATTTTTACTCATGATACCATGGGGTAGTGTGTTTGCCGTAGTCATGTCTTTAAGCTAATAATTTGATGTTTGATGAGTAACTATTTACTCAGTTACATGCTTGCATTGCTATAAGGATAAGACCAATAAGTGATAAATTTATGAAGAGACTAACAAACTTGTTTTTTAATGTTGTTTTGATATGTCTGCTATAAATTCAAGGCATTACTATGCCCATTTCTAGTGAACATATCAAATGATAAAGACAAAACAACTCTTTTGCTTGGTTATCATTATATTATTTATTTGGCTAACTTTATGCCAATAGCAGATGGAAAAATAAGCAATAGTAATTTGAGACCTCTTCGGTACACCTATTGCTAGGGACAATGATTTGTTTTCATTGAAGTTGTTATGTGCTGCTGAGTCAGCTGGGACTCATAATGACCCTATGCACAGTAACTTGAAACAGTGCTCTATTCTGAGCCAATCCCACTGTCTCTGACCTCCCCCCATCCTCATAACCCCAACTACTGTGTCAATCCATCTCATTGGGGTCTTCCTCTCTTGTACTGTCCCTCTACCCTTCCAAGCATGATGTCCTTCTCCAAGGATTGACCCCTCCTGGCAACATACCTACAGTATGTGGCATGAAGCCTGAAAATTCTTGCCTCCAAGAAGCAGCTTCATTTCACCCTCTCCAGGACAGACCTGTTTTTTCTCTTGGCAGTCTATAAAATGTATGTTCAATACTCTTCTCCGGCACCACACCTCAAAGGCATCAATTCTGTCATCTTTGGCCATTGCCTAGCTCTATGATGTATAACAAGTAATTGGAAAGACTATGTATGGCCTGAATTGGGCATACCTTAGGCTGTCCACTGACTCCATTGCTCTTTAGCACTCTGTAGAGATCCCTGACAGCAGATTTTCCTAATGCAATTTATTTAGTCTAAGAATTTGTCTCTTGGAAAATAAAAAAAACAATCATTTGAATCTCAAGGATTTTAGCGTCTATTTACACCTGTCTCCAGAAACTCTGCTTTTATAAAAGTGAAATGCTTGTCTGATAACTAAAAGTTGGTAATTGAATTCCTCTAGCCAATTCTGTGATAGAATGATGTGGAGGTCTATTATAAAGATTATAGCTTTGGAAATCTTATGGGATTGTCTGTTATACTCTTTAGCATAAGGTTGTTATATGTTGGACTTGACTGCATGGCAATAGATTTGATTTCTTTGATATGTATTCATATAATTATATCTCTGTTGAAGTCATTGCCTGAGTGATAAAGGAGTTTTGCCACCAACTAAAGACACATGGTTCGGACACATGGGAGAAAGATGGGCAATCTCCTGAACTACCTCTGAAAACCTGCTGGAGCATTGGCAGTTGGCTTTGAGTCACTTCTGACTCAATTTTATGTAACAACAACAACAGCAACCTAGGCAATGTCAATATTTCAATATAGCCTAACTTGTAATCACTAGAGATCTTAGCTAACAGGTGTGAGTATCCTTCACAAAAGAGATGTAAATAGCACCTTGATTTATAAAACCATCAGCAATTTCCTTTTGAAAATATTAACCATTCCATATTGTTTCAGATTCTAATTAATATTACAGATTTTGAGAATGAGGGCATTGCCAACAGATTTCTTTCTATATGAGCCCTTGTGTTTTACAAATGAGGACAGTAAGGACCCAATATGCTAAGTGACTTGTTTAAGAACTATGTGGATCACAAATAGCACCTGCTTTGCATACAACCCATAAAGTTGTTCTGAGTCACAGTAATTACAGTTACTAATTCTACTCCCTCTACTTTCTGCTTTTACAGCCTCAAATTTCTCAGACTGTGGCTAAGAATTATATTTGGCCTCCAATTATTTATTTAGGGCTTGGTGCATTGAATGTGGTTCTTTAAAAATGTAGATAGGTAGAATTTTGAAAGAAAATCTTGAACTTTTGAGAAACTCATAAGTAGTATTTATTGGGGAGGGGGGAATCCCAACACATTTTTATAGACAGCTTTTACTTTTTGTTTTGAGGTTTGATAAATGGATGCTCCAGGCAGAACATCGAAAGTTTACCCCTTCGATTCAGAGAGAGAATAAAGTAGTTCATTTCATTCAGCATTTCCTGACCATTTTAAAATTTCTTAGCATTAGTTGATGTCTAAGATGAGCCTGTGTGCCAGACTTATGCAACTCTGTCTCATGATCTTGGACTACAAGGATGTTTCTTTCAGATGACAGGGAAGCAGTGGTGAGGATTTACCTGCTGTGCTATGGAAAAGAGCTTGCTCCCAGTATAAACAGGCGACCAACCATGAGGACTTGCCCATTCCAATGGAGAATCCTTATAAGGAACCTCTTAAAAAATGTATCTTGTGTGAAAAACACGTAGATTATAAGAATGTACAGCTTTTGTTCCAGTTTATTTCTCCATTTACTGGATGCATATATGGAAGGCACATAATAGGTCTTTGTGGGAAGAAACAAAAAGAAATCACAAAAGCAATTAAGAGGTCTCAAAAACTGGGATTTATGTCAGTTACATACAAGGATCCCGCGTATCTCAAAGACCCAAAAGTGTGTAATATCAGATATCGGGAATAAATTATGTAAGACCAATAAATGATTGTGTCACCACCAGAAAAAAAAAAGAATGTTCCTTTCGTGGCTAGTTCATCAATGATCCATTTCATCCATTGTTTCCTTCCTAAATTCAGTTTATGTTCATAGGATAAAGATAGACCCCAGAGAATCATGGAATAATTAGACTTCAGTTAGTCTTGATTGCATCTTGGCTTAGACATAAGCAGGATAACAACCCAACCATCTATTAGTTCATATGGCATGTACTTCCTCTGAGGTCAAAAGAGACTTTTCTCTTGCTCTGAGACCTTTGGTTCTACCCATGGCAACTGGCTAATTCCCAGTCTCTTTGTTGATTTCTGGTGGTGTGCAACCAGTAAAAACAAACACTTTCATTTGATATTGGTTCATGTCAAATCCAGGCTGAAGTTCAATAAACTAAATATAGTCAACGGGTTTTGTTAGGTTTCTTTTTGTTGTTGTTGTTTTTTAAGTTTTCATTTCTTTGGGATAAATGTCCAGGAGTTGTAACTGCCATTCTGGCAAGTTCAGCAAGCTGGCAAACTTCTTGTCAAAAGTGGACAATTTTGCTTTCATACCAGCAGTGTGTGAAAGGTATAGATGCTCTGTATCCTTGTCAACATTTAGGGCAAGCAAACCCCAATAGGTAGATGTTGTTTTCTTCTCTATGCTTATACTCTGCACTTTCCTGATAATCAATGATTGGCTTAGGGAACTCTGGTGGTAAGAAGTTGTGTGGCCAACCCAAAGGCATGCAGTTTGAATCCACCAACTGCTCTGCAAGAGAAAAATGAGCAGTCTCCTCCCATGTGATTTACTGTCTGAAAACCTCCTAAGTGATCAGCTAAGAATAGGTCTGACTTAAGGGCACATAACCACCACAACAATGATTTGAGCATCCTTTAACTTGCTAATTTATCATTCTTTGATTTTTTAAAAAAATTAATTTTTATAAAAGTTTGCAGAGACTTATTCCAGTCATTCATTGTTGCAGTTACCCCCTCCCCTCCCCAATTCACTCTTCTCCTTGAAAAGAAAGGAAAACTCTTTCATTGTTATTCAATCCCTCCCCATTCCCCAAGTCCACTTCACTATTCAGCCTTCACTCTGGACTTCTTTTATGATAAGAACACCCATTCATATATCTCTTTTAAACAGTTCTCTCCCTCATCTGTTTCAATGCAAGAAGTATCTCTTCAAATCCTTTGCCTGTTTTAAAAATTGGGTTCCAATTGAAAAGCTACTCAAATTTTGTCATTTGCAAAAGCTGCCAAATCAGTTTTCCAAAGAATGAAAGTTAAATTCATGCTGCTTGTGAGGTTCCAAATTTGTGTACCATTCACCAGGTAATCTCTATACCTCTTACACTTGAAAGGTGTTTCTCATGTACCAGTCTATTCATTTAAGCTTTAGATATGCTAGGATTATATTCACATTTCTCTTGTGGCTAGCTTTTTGGTAAGAATAGATCTATAATAAATCCAGTTGAGCTTTATCTTCTCCCGGGAATATGTAGTATTTTAGGTAACAAGGTTATATAGGCAAGGCTAAAAAACAACCACTTATAGTGCATTGGAAGTGCTTTAGAGAAAAATGCATCCTCTAGGAATTTTGAACAGCAAGACTTTTGAGTATTTAAGGAAATATTCTACAGTGCTAACTTTGATTTCAAGAAAGGAAAATGAAGCATTTCAATAAATATCCGCAACTTAAAAAAAAAGTTTTTTCTCCTTTTCTTTTTTTAAATCTTCCCACTTTAAGAGAAAATGCAACCAATAGCTTATTTGAATTGTTTATCTAATTATAGATCTTGAAGGGAAAATTCTTTTTCTCTAAACATACTTAATTAGAAAATTAGTGATGTATTTTTTTATATTAAAAGCAGGATGTAGTTCTGGTGGAAAATCAGTTGTTAACGCTCAGCCACATTATATGGCATCCCCTTAGAAGGAAACAATTTCACATTCAAGTTTCCTTTTGAATGGGAATAATATGTCTCTTTAACAAAAAGACATTTTGCTTTTATCCCTTAGTGCTCTTTTTAAAATATTTTATCTAATTTACTATTGCTATGCATCAGAAAGCTGGACAATGACTAGGGATGATAGAAAGAGAATTGATGCCTTTGAGCTGTGGTGCTGGAGAAGAGTATTGACTATAATATGGACTGCTAGGAGAACAAACAGGTTCAGCCAGGAGAGAGTGAAACCAGGCTGCTCCTTAGAGGCAAGGATTTTAAAACTTCATCTGACCTACTTTGGACATGTTTTAAAGAAGGACTAGTCCTTCCTTGCACAGGGATATCATGCTTGGGAGGAACAGCAAAAGAGAGGAAGAGACTGGATGAGATGGATTGACTCTTTGACCGGGGTAATGGAGGTGGGTGTGTCAGAGACAATGAAGTTGGTTCAGGATAGAGCAGGGTTGAGAGTTGTTGTACATAGGGTCGCTATGAATTGCGAGCTACTTGACAGTGTTGTTGTTGTTGTTGTTATGTGCCGTCGAGTTGCTTGCAACTCATAGCGACCCTATGTACAACAGCCCTAAACCCTGCTCTATCCTGTGCCAATCTCACTGCCTCTGACACAGCCATCCCGATTACCCCAGTCACTGAATCAATCCACCTCATAGAGGGTCTTCCCCTCCTGCGCTGTCCCTCCACTATGCCCAGGATGATGTCCCTCTCCAAAGATCTGTCTCTCCTTACAACATGTCCAAAGTATGTCAGGTGAAGCCCCAGAATCCTTGCCTCCAAGGAGCAGCCTGGTTTAACCCTCTCTAGGATGAATCTATTTGTTTTCTTGGCAGTCCATGGTACATTCACGCCTACTTGACAGTACTTAACAAAAACAACTATTTTAAAAGGAAGTTCTGGTAGCATAGTCCATAGAATGTTGCCTTGCCAACCCAAAGCTTTTCTGGCAACTCCAATCCACCAATTGCTCTGTGGGGAAAAAGATTATCAGTTTCACCTCCAGTCCTTGTAAACCTCCTGGAGGGTCAACAATGAGTCAGTACCAACTTGAAAGCAATGCCAGAGAGAGAAAGAGACAGAGACGGAGTGAGTAAGGGGAAAAGAGAGAGGGAGGGAGAAAGATATAGAGTACTTGAAAGGGAAATTTTGTTGTTGTTGTTGTTGGTAGGTGCCTTCAAATCCAGTGTTAGCAACCCTATCAACAATAAACTTGAACGCTGTCTTATCCTGTGCCATCCTCATAATCTTTGATATAATTGAGCCTGTTGCTGCAGTCACTGTGTCAGTCCATTTGGTTGATGTCTTCCTCTCTTCACTGGCCCTCCATCTATCAAAGCATTTTGTCCCTCTCCAAGGAATAGCCTGTCTTAAGAATATGTCCAAAATATGAAAGACAACAATTTGCTCTCTTGATCTGTAAAGAGTTTTCTGGCTACCCTTTTTCCCAGACATATCTATTTCTTCTTTTGGTCGCCCATGGAAAACTCAATACTCTTCTCCAGCATCACAATGCAAAGGCACCTGTTCTTCTTAGTCATTCTCCAATTCTCAGATGCATAACAGGTGACTTAAGAAAAGACCATGACTCTAATGAGATGCACCTTGGTGTTCAAACCAGCACCATTGCTCTTAAGTACTTTGGGAATATCCCCAACAGCAGACTTGATCAATCCTGTCTGCTGATACCAAAAGGTGTTGATTGTTGATCCATGCAACATGTAATCATTAACAACAGTTGTGAAGTGGTCAAATTCTCACCTGCTGAATAGGAGACCCTAGTTTGATTCTTAGCTAATGCATCTCCTGTAGCCACCACTGCTGTTTGTCAGTGGAAGCATGATCCTCAATAGGGTTTTGTGGCACTTCCAGATGAAGGCAAATAAGGAAGAAGGAGCTGGTAATCTAGTTGCCAAAATTTTCCAAGGACACCCTATGGTTCAAAATAATCTCATTCTCAAGTGATCCGGGACAATTTATTCCATTTTCCATTGACTGCCATATGTTGATACCTACTCATCAGCAACTACTAACAATATCTCATGTCTTATTAGTCCAAAATGTCAAATTGGCCGTGTATTTATTTCTATTTGCTCATTTCCTAACTAATATCATCACTGTAACTGAGGTACTCATAGCTGGATACAGAAAGGCACATAACATATCCAATTGCATGATGGGAAAAACCTGTGCTTTTTAAAGTAAATTCCTAGGAGTGGGGAGTTTCCTAACTAGTATCCCAATTCTATGGAAAAGAAATAGGAGCACTATGCAGAAATTCAGCTCAAATACTTTCTTAACTTTGCCTCCAAATAGAATTTGAGCTAATGTGGCAAAATCAGTGGTAACAACACAGAAAGGCTAAGCCTTCTTCACCTCTCACTAAAGGCAACTTCACTCTTCTACCTCCTACTAGCTTCAGAGACAACTCTGGGGCAGTTGTTTCCAGTGTAATTTCTGGACCTAGCAGCTGGGAATTTGTTAGATATGCAAATTCTCCAGCCTTGCTCTAGATCTACTGAATGAAAAGCTGAAACTGGGCGGAAGGTGGGGGCAGGGGCGGAGGAAGCAGCACTTTGTGTCTTAACAAGCCCTCTAGGTGATTCGGAAGTGTGCTGAAGTTTGAGAACCACCACACTAAAGGCATGAGGAAGTTGTGAATATAAAGCCTATATAAAATTCCTTTCTTACAGCTTCAAGCTGACAGGTTCATTATCACCTTGCTGTAACAACAACTTGCATGATAGGATTGGGTAAGGAAACACTGTGAAATGAAAAGGCATGAATATTAGCTGGTGCCCGTACTGGAGATCACTAAAATTTATATTGGGCAAAATGGATTTTTAATTTTATCCTTGTGGTGAGTAGAATCATGATTTCATATTGTTTCATATTTTGACAAGTTGATACCATGAGTATTTTTTTAAGCACCACTGTTTTGGATTTTAGACAATGCTTGTTTGTTTTGTAGAATAGAATTATTCTCAAAGGCATTTGTCACAGAATTGTAATGTACTCAACAGTCACT